GAATGTTTAGAGGCACCCGTCCATTAGGAGGTACATGGGCACGCGCAAGTCAACAAAGAGTAGAGCTGTTGGCAATCAGGGCCCACCGGCATCGCTGACAAAAGCGTTTACATGTTGTGGACACTATGCGAATGAGTGGTGATAGTCATCATCACACCCTTCAAGGCTCGTACGAAGCGCAGAAAGATCGACTGGAGGAAACGTCTTTTCCATTGGCCTGCATTAGTGGCCGCGACCTGCGTCACTGAATGTCATTTGCATACCTCATGGCACACCTTCGCTAACAAGCATCGAGCATCGTGTGCAGCATAAAGTCAATCTGTGCTACAAAGTGTCACCATTTCATGGTGGCTAGTGCTTTACCAAATGACTTCACGGTACAATTCCGACGTATTGAGGGGCCTTCTTCAAGACATCTTCAGCTAGTCAAGACCTGTAATGAATTCTACTCTCACGCTCACGTCACCCATCTACAACTTAAATGGAAACTGAAGGAAATTGAGAGCCTTTTCTGCTGGGGTTTGCGATCTTTGTTGGTAAGCTACTGATGCTTGATTCAGTTTCAAATGGGAAGGGTATAGGCACTGGCACATACCAAAACTATTTTAGATCCTTTGGCAGATACACGCGTTGATCTATTGTATACTACTACGGACTCAACCTTATTGTTTAAGAATGAGGGAAGAGTTATGAAGAGCTCTACACAAGAGGATACAGTGAAGCTCTCTTGGAGTTCCATGAAGTTGAACACATGGAAACTTCAGCTGGAGATGACCGTCGACTGCAGTCTACGTGAGCAAAACAACACGTGTGTTGCTTGTTGTTAAGCCATGGCAGTGCCAAGTCGGCTAGCGAAACAGCATATTTTTTCGAGTGTCTCAGTTCCCTTGTACTCGCATAGCTTCCTGTCAAGAAGAACTCGATGAGCTTTGGTGAGTAGTTGAATTTGCGTGATGCATCCAAGCCGAGGTTAGCAATGGTTGGTAAGGCAAGAAATCCGAATTCGAGTCGTACACACTAGCTACTGACTACTCATTTTATGCCAGCAATGGGGCTTTTTGAAGAATCACACGGTGGAAGGAATTGGCATTTGGTCTATGGGTAAGGTCCACATTTTTATCGCTAAAATGAATAGATTGATGTGGGAACTGCCTACTACTTCATTCCTGTGGTGATAGCAGTTATAAGAATTGAGAATTGTATGGGGCTAGCTACTTTCTCAAATAGCCCGGATGCTATATCTAGGTGACATTGCGCAGTCTGAGACTACCTTAGTGATGACTGATCTCCAAGGTAAAAATCTCACTTGTTCCCGAGCCTCTTCCTGACTTGCACCATTATCCATCCCGGCAAGCGTTGGAATCCAGACAGAAAAACGGAGCCAAATTGAGCGTACAAATTGTGTCTAGCTGTTGCATTTCGCAAGACGAAACAACATCTCCGACAAGGAAACAAGATGAAATTCCACAACACAAAGTTGTGAATAGCGGATGACCCATTTCGACTTATTACCTCCTCGAAAGTAACAACCACTTAAATTAAGGCTCACCTGTCTTTACGGCTCATACCACGGCAACTAAACAGCACGAACCAACTTGCTTTCTCATTTGAAGATACTATAAAAGAAAAGATTGCAATGTACAATTTTTTTGCCTTTTACGGAGATCAGAGCTATTTTTGGAAATTCTGACCTTTACTAAAATCTAATGGGGAACTTGCTTTGACTGTAACTTCATCAAGCACTTCGAACTCTTCCCAATGTGGCCATAAACATTCTTTATTCTACTTACCGCTACTTCATACCGCATTCCAGATACTGAAACTTTTGTGATTCACTGTCTCAACTCCTTCATGTCTCATTTTTAACCCTTTTTACCGTTTGAAATCACTTAACCTATTCGTCAGAGCTTGATGAATGCACAGTAAGAGAGATTAGAGATTTCAAATGCCAAAATGCCGTATCAATTTACTATGTGTTTTTCATCATTTCATCGCACCAAAGTCTCGTCACTGTGTTTAAAACGGAGCTTTGCTCCAATACCTGAGGCTGCCCATTTTGTTTAAAAGGGAAAACGAAACTGTTATTAGAACAATGGAGTAGTAGATACGGATAGAATAGGTGCATATTGTTTCCCACCTAGTTGGCATCCGTTTTTTCCACCGGTCACCTTGTTACTAATGCTCCAGCAGACGCCCTGAGTCATGGCAATGGGCTGCCCCATCCCCCATGGTGGGAGGGTGGAGGCCGCAGCACTTGGTCACTCTATGCCAGTTGGAGGACAGCTAATGAATGGCGAGTCAAATGATGTTTAGGCGTGTTCACACATGAAAATCGCGCCATGGATTTTACGGACGGGCTGTTCATTCACCTCCAACTAAATGATTCTATAGGGTAAAACAGAGAATTTTGACATGTAGGCTGCGTGCAGATACCGTCGCATTGCATGTTTGCAAATTTTCATGGGCATTTTAATTACCATTTTTCGATATGAACGTATATTTTAAGCCGATTCTTATATCCACAAACTGAAAGCCACCTGGCACATATTGCTTGTTTCGGTAATCCATTAAACACGCATTTTTAAGGTGGTAGTTCAGCAGATGGTGGTATAAGCTGCCTTTTGGACCCGCTCCAATACATGCCCCATTTCTCTGCCCCGTTGGTCAAATCGAAATGTTTGGACCAATTTAGAGTTTAATGCCCTGTGGGCAAATATATGGTCGACGCAACTGAAGTGGAATTCTGCCCAATCTAGCTTCAAAAGTGAAACAAATTGGCACGAAAATCATTTTTCAGGAGGATTGACCATGGCAGTCACTATTTCCTCCTTTTTACTGTGATTTACTAAAATATGATTAGTCTGAATATGCATTAGCCTCGACCATAGTAAAAGATACTTTTGATAATTTATTTTTGCGAACTAATTTTCATCCCTAAAAAGGTGGTTAGGGTTAAAAGTACTGTTTACTTCAAAGTTAAAAAACGATTTCTCACCGAATTAGTTGGATTCACAGTGTCACTCTGTGATGCCAATTTAAATCCTTTACTGCTGATTCCGTAACAATGAGGAGATTTTGTGGAGAATTACAAAGACTTAGACAGCTGGTTTTGGAATTAAAAGTTGTTTTTGATTTGCTGTTGGATGAGATGAAAAGATTGAATGATTTGTCGAAGAGCATGAAAACCTTAACTTAAGATACTGGAATTTCCTTGTACACCCCTTCCTTCCATGACGTACTCATTCACCTTGGAATTAAAGTATTCACCAACGATACTGAAAGAACCACAGCGAATTAATTGTGTTTACAATTTTTTACTTTTGTGACGATTCTAATCAAATGTTACAAATAACTTATTTCCCATTCCAACAATAGATTTCTAGCACCGGTTTGCACCGCTCTGAATGTTTTTTGACTGAGGGCAGTAGGTTCTAACCTTCCTGTGAAGCACAGTTTTTAAACATAGTGAAATTTTAGTTTACTAAAAGGTATATTTCGTTAAAAAACGGAGTCTTACTAAATAGTCAAAATTACCCCTCCTTTCCTGAAGTCATAAGAAATCGTAGTAGCATGGCAGAAAATATATTACTAGTGTACATCGGTGCTGCGACTACTGGCATGGGCCCGGAAGTCATGCCGCTGAGCGGAAGTATGACCGGCGGAGCCTTAAGTGTCTACGTAATCAAGCGCAGAGCTAAACAATCAAAGCATAACACTACTTTGCTCCACAACTACACGAGGTGTGTGGCATTGAGATCAACTTATAAAGTAAGTAAGTTTTTTTAAATCTTTAACCGTAAGTATTGCATACTCGTTGGTGGTAGACACAATTAATTCTGTACACTTTCATGATACTGAAAGGATAAGTCTCAAACATCGTATTATATTTACGACTATCAGCGGCGCAATGCATTTATGAGGCGTGAGGTTTAACTTTTTCTCTAGCCTTTATACAAGGTGATAATGGCACCAAAAATTTCGTTACAACAAGCTCCTCTGATAATGCACGTAATCTTCCCATAACCCCGATCCACCGGACAAAGAGGGTGCGTTCTCATGGGGAAAATTAGAATCTGATGCAGTGATACTAAACATCCAATCTTGATCCCAACAGATCTTGAAGTGAGTCTTAACCCCTGTTAATCACTTACACTTAACTCAGTTGTGTGCCCCACGAGTCTCGAGACCCGAGCATCACCTCGCCAATGCCTAAAAATCAACTAATCTAGAAAGTGGGGGGTTAAAACCGAACTTTTTATGGAACTAATGTTTACTTGCACAAACATTAGCAGTAAAGGAATCTTTCATTGGTTATGCAAGACTGACCTCACCCTTATAAATTCATGAACTGATGGTTTCACCCGTATTAAGGTTTTGTTTACCGACTCAAGGTCCACACAAACGGAAAACTGAAAAAACTGTGCCTTAATTACTGATATTGCTTCTTTTGACAAGGGTTTCGACTTGAACGGATCTACGAACACACACACAAACCACACCCAGATGTGACCTACATTACCAACGCCGACATTTGGCAACTAGCACCATTGGCATTGTCGTAACAGTGATCGATACGGATCCTAATAAGAGTTTCGGTTAAATTAACTTATCTTCGCTCGCCTCATCTCCAAATCCGCATTATCACATATCAGCAGCACGCTTGTAGAAGACAAGGATGAAATCCCTTATGGCACCAAACTCCTGCCTTCCCATAAATTTAGAATGACGACTCCTGCCAAACACTACGCATTGTTCCCACTATAAATAGCAACCAACATTCGTGCCACGTCTTCGCAGCTCGGATGTGTGGGTCACATAAGAGCGTATGAAAATAGTATCGAAGTCACATGGGGTTCAAAAGTTATTTTATAAAAAAATGTGATTGGACAAGGCGCTTCAGTCTCGACAACAGGAGCTAATAATGCAAGGAAGCATAAAGGGAAGAAGGAGTAAGCAGAGTGGCGAGCGTCAGTGGATGTACAAAACAACGGTAGCATGGATTAGGAATTACTCTTGGAGGATTTGGATTTTTTGGTTTTGGCTTCGTTCTCCTTTAGTTCACTCATTAGCCAGTCTGGCAGACCGGAACTCGACGAAGGCGAACGGTCACGAGGGTCACGGTCGTTGTTCTTGACTTCCGACACTTGCTCAGTCTCCAGCTGGTCGACTTTTTCTTGTGTCTCCTGCACACTCTCCATTTTTGGATCTTCTTGCATCCATTCAGAATCCCGATTGCCTCCATTTGGGCTCTCTGGCGGTGGTGGCGTTGGCGGTTGAGGCTCGGGGGCGTAGAGCAAATCAGGACTTCCAGCATGCATCGGGTTTGCTGAGTAAATGTCCGCATTCCTTCTATTCGACGGGACACCTTTTGCGTTCGTTCCCTTGTCCAGCAGAAAAGCCGCCGGATGATTGTCAGTTGCGTGGGCAGATGGTCTACCTTTCACAGCAGCAGCTGCCATCATTGACTTTCGCCTAGCCTCTTTCGTCCTTTGCCTTCGGCGGAAAAAGCCACAACAGTAGAGAGAGGCGATCAGACTGAAGAGCAGTATGCTGCCTAGAACAACACCCACGATGATTGGCCAAAGGGGAATGCGTGCGAGGTACTTTCCCGTGACGCCGCGAAACACTACCGCTTGTGGTAGTTCGTACGCAGGTGGATCGTCGGGAAAGTCCAGACGAGCAGACGGGTAGGAACGAAGGATTTGAGGTGGTTCACCCCAGTCCATCAGGCTAAGTCTGCTCACAAACTTGACATCTGGAAGCTGGTGCTTGAAGAAGGTGGGAGTCCACAGCCATCCAGTCAGACTCACGCGTACCGTGTCAGCACGTAGTAACTTGTTCAGGTGACATGTGACCCTGGCACAAATGACCGTGAAATCAAGGTCACTTTGACGGAGATCGGTGGACTGTGAGTCGGCAACGGTGCATGAGATGGTGGATTGTCGCTGGCCTGACCGCTTAAAGTAAACGTCCGCGCGATTATCACCAAAAGGATATATGACAGTCACTCGACCAGGTGTCAGGGCTTCCTTGTCTTCTTCTACTGATCTTCGACGACGGCTTGTCGGTAGACTGGAGTGTGGGGATTCTAAAACAAAGTTTGACAGATTCCCATTAAATTCGCGAAATACACAAGTGGGGAAATGTTCGCCGTGAAGTCAATGTGATTGAATTTGACCGCGTCAACAGTTCACACCAATTAACGAATTCCAAGCCTAAAAATGCTAGATTTTAAGTCGAACTTAAACATCGCATTTTGAGTTTACCAGTTGTTCTCTTGAAAGTAATGGTAACTGCTATTGATCTTGTTGGCCCAGAAAGTCAAAGTCCTCTTACATCTGAAGATGGAGCATGTTAGAACAAAATCGGTAGGTGCAGCTCATCAACTCATTCTGTTTATAACTACAGATTAGGTGAATCGTAGTAAATATTAGTCGACCTTTTTAACATTGATGGTACGGGCTGGATTTTATGCATTCGTCTGCTTCCGTTGTATAATAGCCAACCATCATTTATGAGCACATCCCTTGTGTTGGCTAAATTAGTGGATCTGGACAAAAGCAAGTGTGCGGATCAATAAGACGTCGCAAAATTCTCACCAGAACAGGAACTAATAACTTGCGACAACGGTTTGAAGAGGTGTAAGAGGAATACCCGCATCATCGAAGTGTGATCCTCCTGTAAATAACCTCTTGTGGATGGGATGCACAGCCGGTGGACCAAAGGTCGCTCGCCCGCTTGGTCATAGCGTCATCATACGTAAAGATCACAGGGGTCCAGAAACGCCCACACATAGCTAAAGCGATCCACTGCAACCTTACATAAACAGTAAGGTACGGTTCTAAACCACTTTTTTAGAGAACGAGGTGTTAATATTCATGGATCGGCTCAGCAAGAGCACATAGAGCCACAGATTGAATCTATGCGGAAGGGTTGAATTACTCCTGGGATATTAAAGGTGCTCACTTAGTGAACGGTTGGTTGAAGGTGCATTATTTAGAGGGTAAAACACTTCACACTTAATTCTTGACTGACCATCCACTCACAAACCGGGTGGCTTGTATTGATGATGAGAAAACAGCGTCTTTGTGTATGTGTACGTATTCGAGGCCTAAACAGCTGCCACCGCGAGACATGCAAGACAGTCAGAAGCCTTAAGTGGGGCAGGGATAGAAGCGCTCTCGATGACTCATGTCGTGAAGTTGTTTTAAGAAAAATTTTATGCTCTACTTCTTCTCCATACACACCCATGAAGGCCTTGTAACTTGGCTTCAATTCCCGTTGTCTGAAAATTCGGCTAAGGTACTTTATGCTTATTGCTTGATAAAAGTAGTCAAGCTAACAGGAAAATTGTAATACTTTCCATTGAATAGGTCGATTCAGAATGGCAGTAAAGCTAATATTAGATAAGAGGTGCCTGGAAAGAGCAGTATATTAGCTAACGTTTACAGGACACTGTGGGAGAGATAAACAAACTTATAGGACGCCATGCGTGCTAATAGTCACATACTGCGTGTATTTTGGCAAACAGCCTGCTTTATGCCAGATGAAAGTGTTCCGTACTTTCTGCAATATGCACAAACACGTCTGGTAAAATCCTACTTCAGTGTTTGCCTCACAATAAGGCTTAAGATCTTACTTTTAGAGGGAGGGGGAGGTCTAGCATGCTGTGTACAAAAAAGCTTCATTAATTTGTTTACTGTCAATTGAACTAGTAAAATCACTAATTGTAGCTCCGTTATATTACCTGGGTAATTAATGAGAAGTAGGTCGGGAGGTAGCGGTATTAACCAAATGGACGAACAACGGCGAATGAATCTATTGCGGTGGGCAGGAGAATAAGACGAAATAAGTACCCTAAGTCTGAACCTGTCATAGGTAGTGGTGGGCGGAGGGTTGGGTTTTAGCCCCCATTCGGATGAGTCACACGAACAATGCCAACCAAGGCGTGGGTGAATGATTGGGGAGGGGCGTAGTTGTTGTCGTCCCGCCCAGGCCGACTCGCAGAACTCACAACACCAACCTCTGGCCCAATGATCCCTTCGCGTGTGGGACACAGTTTCGCAAATGCTTGTTAAGCTGCCAACATAATGGTGCGCATTAGATGACTTTGTGATTTGATTCCGTGTGCAATCGTAGCTTTCCTGATCTAGGTACAACAAAGCTTCTTTTAATGATTGAAACATGATATAGAGAGGTGGCGTGCTTCTAATGTAGGCTACGAAATCATTTGTGAGGGATTAAAACCATATCCTTGCGCCCTTTGATAGAAGAAAGGAAAAAAACCGAGAGACAAAAGAGCATAGCCTAAAATACTAGAATTGGGACCATTACTACCATAAAAATTCAACCACTATCATAATCATGCATTGAATTTAGGCAGTTAAGTAATCCCACAAACAATCGGCAACATTTCTCAGGAGCCATTGTTACGATTATGAAGAATCACATTAAGGCATTACGTCTGAGCCCTAGGAGCAGCACTTAAGCGTTGTCAATGGAAGTGGTGAGATTTTCTCAGCGGTGATTTTGCCTCTGGAAGTCAAAAGACAGTCGAATTTAAGCTCATCCTTGGACCAGCTGTTATGAATACTTCGTACAATCTCTAGCTTCCAACACCATATTTCAGTTAAAGATGTGAGAAAAGGTAGGTAAAGTGGATTTTGCTGGTCATTTTGATTAAAAATATAACGCATTTTCAGTCGCCGACAGCAATATAACCCTGATCGAGACCATTGGCACAGCGATCACTAATGACGAAGTTTGGTAAGCCCACTTTCATGTGGGAATGTTGATCAAGGATTTTACAGGAGATGTGCTTAGAAACATTTTTGCTTGCAAATATACACAACTACTCAGTACTCGAAAATTCAAGATGTTTGGGTGAGGAATGCGCATTTTTTAGAAGCCACTTAAAACTACCCGTTCAAAGTCTACCACTTTATTTATAAACCATGTAGAAATTCCCTCCCAACATCCAAGTTGGGCTGCATTAGGGAATGGCCAAAAGGTATTTGGGAAAAATACACTTCTTTGCGAAGTGGCATGCCGCAGCACTCGCAACTTGCATTTTTTCCACAGGTTAGAGGTTGAGTCTGTGATGCCGTAACCCTGTAAACCCTAGAATTTAAAGCCACTTATGATTTAGAGCCTATTTTAATCTGCACATTAAAGTCTCCGATGTTTCCGGCTCACCTCAACGGCTTAAATATGATCTCCAATAAAAAAAGACGTTCATATCCATAAAGGGGCAACTTGCTTTCAGATCCAGCTTCCCGAATTGTGAGGTTGAGAGGGTTGACAAATTCGTCGTCAATCTCACAAAAACCGACCTCACTTCCGTTTGCGGACACCATTTTCGGCAGTGTATTGACCCATGCATAGTCTGGTAGTAATAAAAAAGACGTAAGGATAAAAAATACTTCTATTTTCAGTAAGCGGATTAAATGCTCAACTTTGGTTACTAGAGTCCCATTGGAGTCCAGCCGTTCCGCAAAAGGTCTCAGAAGCGCAATCAATACAACCTTCTAGGAACAGCATAATTGATGGCTTAATTATGTAGCCATCAATACACTTAGACTGTTTGATAGTACAAATACATTTTCGCACATATAATGCGCTAATCCTTAACCACGAGGGATGGCTGTTCAACATCAAATCCATAAATGATCTAGCTTGGTGCACTTTACCGAAGGATTGCCATGAATTTAAGTGGGGTGGGAAGGTAATAAAAAGATGCCGCAAAGCGTAGTCAAAATAGACCTAAATTTATGGGAAATAGTAAATAGAAATTTATTTTACTGAAGTTATGAGTGCATCTTAATTACAGCCACTCACATTAGAAGAATTGGTTTCTTTCATCATAATTTACTGCGCAAAAGGATAAAGCACTGAGTTCAGCAAACTTGACAAAAAAAATCCGTTTTATGACCTTCATTATGACTAATCATGCTAAAACTTATTACTTCGTGACTTTAACGTCCCATTTACGTAACGACAAATTGTTACGAAGCTAGGTAACAACACCAAAAACTCCACAAACAGCTGCCTTATAGTTGGCGAGTCCAGGGAACATCAAGTTAGAAATTCGGCTAATCGAGTGACGACCTCAACACAACCACATCGTTAACACTGCTAGCCTCCAGTGGCGCCAAACGGTTGGGTCAGAATAGGTAAAAAAGTTGTAGGAGCAGGATAAGAGAGGATGCAACTTGCCAGAGGTGCTGCCGTCCAGAAGTCGAGCCTTGTCGGCCAGGTAAAGCAGCGTGTCCCCCTCATTGGTGCGGACAGGAATGTCCAACTGGAAGGCTATGTCGTGAAGGTCCACCGATCCGAAATTTTCTACCAAAAATATGTGCTCAAGCTGTGGACCCACCTCGTTCCCTAGTACTATCCTGGTGGCAGCTGCAAGGATAAAATAAATATGCCGCTGAGAAAGGGCAAAATGACCCGTTTTTGTTAATAAACGATTTGTCCACTTTTTTAGGATATATTTAAATCTGCATCTCTCAGTGTTTATTTGGACTGTAAATATCTCACACTGATACTGGCACTTAAATTATTCTGATCGAGAGACACCAACCTGTTTGCACACGCACATACGGCTCCCAGATCAGTCTCGAGGAGAAATCAGTTTAACCGCTATCAGCAAATTTATTCGTGCATTAGTAACATCGACTTTGTGAAGAACAAGCAGTAATAACAGGAGCCAACACAAGCACAAAGCTTGTCACATAGACGGCTTCATTCAAGCAATCAAAAACCAAGGACGGCATCAGACACACCAAACGCAACGACGTTTTGGAAGGACCAAAGGCGTGGAATCAAGTCTCCCCCCACCACGTTTGCTATAAACATATCGGATGCACCACAGCCAAATGGACAATGTAAACAATTCCGCCACACAAAGAGGAATGATAGAATTTCTCACCAATTTTGCACACACAAAGGAAAAAGGAAATTTTTTGTGTCAAATACATTTCCACTGACATGTCCATTCCTGATCTACATTTTTTACAAATTCCAAAATGGGCATAAGGGTCAATCTCTCCATATACGCGTGTTCACGCTGGACTGGTTTTACAGTCTGAGTAATATAAGGAGCCGGTAGCGTAGAAGCTCGTCGACCACACCTGTTCCACGTGAACGGCAGGACCGGATGCAGATCGCAATCTTGAGGCGATATCATGAATATAGGGAGCTGATACATGACAGGACTTGTTATGGAAAACGCATTAGCGGTACTGACCCCTACTTCTTCTGTAAACTACGATTCTGCTCACTATGATTTTCCTATTTTGCACGGAAGGCTAGAAATTCATTGAACATGATCGATCCCATAGTAAAAACACGACTCGTTTTCATGACTCTCGGAAGGCATAATTTGGCATAATCAGTGGGAACTAATGAATATTACACTAAATTAACACGATTGAGAGATGGTTGATTCAAGGAAACGGTGAACTTCTTCAGATCAAATTAAAAATCCACTAATACCTCTTCCTAAATCAGCTCTCAAAATTGCCTTATTGAAGATCTAGAGTAAACGTGATTGACCGTAATTTAAGTTTAGCACAAACATAAACACGTTTAAGCTATTTCCTTTGAAATTGCATTCCAAAGTAACGTAATTATCATATAAGTTTAACCATGCGATTTACTGACAGCAAAGATGCAATGCTAAATGGCGTTCCCAATTATTTGGTTCAGAGCCCACGCTTATCAGAGTTCAAGTTGTAGACATTCCTAAGCAAAACCATCCAAGAGGACATCCAGATTTTGGAACTTGCATCCATCCATCATTTGCAGTACAACAAACATTCTAATGGAACTTTTTACTCTGCTAGAATACGCTTTGTACTCCGAAAAGATTGCACTAAGTCTCCTAGATTCTCCTAAATATTCGAAGGTTTTAAGTGTGAGTTTACTGTAGGCTGATAGTTTAAAGCTCACCGCTGAGATGTGGTGGCGCCTTTCGCGCGTCTACTAGGGCAGGTGGCGCGGCCCCAGGATTGATCCTCAGCTGAGGCTTGTAGATCACATCAAAGATCCCAGTGGCAATATTTGTCTCTCCACTTGGGTCCCCAACAGCGGCAGATACATTGGCCAGAATTCCTGGACTCGGTAATCTATGCTTATCCTCCTCCTTTCCTTTCTCAATGATCTCCCCCTCTTCTTCGTAGCGCTTTGGTGCCAGACCAGCCAGGAAAATGTCCACGGTAATGGTTAACTCCTGATCTGGGTAAAGTACTGTTCCCTGTTGGGCGGTGATCAGTGCAGCCGCCCCGTTGCTTGGCAGACTGACCGACCACCGACCTGTCGACCGGTCATTTGAAGCTAGAAATGCGCCCGTAGCGGCATCCCTCAAATGCACACTGTTTACGAGGATGCGCAATCCCGGCCGAGAGGCATTCTTCGGCCATCCGATTGTGCGCAACAGCACACGCACTCCCTCCGATTTTGTAGGTCCGTTGTTTCGTAGCACAAACATCATAGTCTGATTAGCGTCCTCCCGACGTCCGAACTGCACGGGTATATGAGATTTACCACCACCATTTATGGAGACCTGCAAATCGGCGCTACACTTGGGATGCGGCGGACAAAGATACGCTGGAGGAGGCATCTTCCAGATGCAATCAGACCAGTCTATCGAGGGCTGGGCGATCTTTGGGCACAACCGAGTGTACTGATTGCATTGAGGATCGGCTAGAATCGAACGAAAAGCCACATGGAGGGGCACAGTGTCCAGGTCCATGTACCTAGCATCCTCCTGAACCAGAAGCTTGGCCTTTAAGATGACAATTCCATTGTCACTAACTCGAGTGTCGGATATTTCCTCGAGGGTGAATCTCGGCTGGCTCGGGTCCAGTCTGAAGGATTCTCTGCCCAAAAGAAGTTCTGTCAAGAAATCACTCTGATTTGGATGGCCGTTGAGATAATCGTAGCGCTGCAGCCAGAGGACATCGGGGTTGATTTGGTGTGAGCGGCTCTGGAAACTAGCGGGAGCAGGAAACGGTTTGTCATTAACGGGATCGATGAAGTTGATGGTAATCTTGAGTGTCACAAGGTCGCCCTTCCGAACAGACGTGGAAGTCACAAGGGGATGAGCTCTAAAAGCACATTTTGCTCGAAGACGCCGGGGCAGAGAGTATATCAGAACGGGCACTTTGGGGTCTAGAGTTGTCACAGCCATTTCCGGTCCACCGTCAGAGTCAATGTCGATGCTTCTACTCAACGATATGCCGAAGCCGACCACATGCGGAGGTGCCTCCAATATCTGCAATAGAAGTAACTTCAGTATACTTTGCATCTATCAAACTTCAATGTTATTTTACTACCACAATTGTTCGGCCATCTACTAAAATTAACGGTGAACCACTGTAAAAATAGACATGAACAGAATTGTTCTAGGTAATACAAGATGTAAAACCAGGTTCGCAATACCAACTCTATTGCTTAAAATGGCGATTAAATATGCTTTAGTCCTAAAATATCCATAATCGAAAACACACTTCCTGTTTTAACTTATGCACAATTCCTGCGCAACAGTTCCACATGTTTAAAGGGAGGTTGCTACTCCATGACCCACAGATCCCATCCTTTTTCACACCAAAATAGAACGCTAGCGCGTGAAAGCATCCACTTGGGTTCCCTACATAGCAAACGCGAGCAATACCCCAGTGTCCTTTCAATGTTTTACGATTTATTTAGAACTTATAGAATATCAGTTGTCAAATCACTCGCACTTAACACTGGGACAAGCGTTCTCCTAAACAACTAGTTCTAGGTATTGCAAATAAACGTCAAAAACACATCCAGCTAGACAAGACAAATAATTTACACTAAAAAACTGTTAAAAATAGGCATCACTTCCAAAACTGTCTTGGAGATGGGAAAAGGCTAGTATTATTGAAAATGGGTGGGATTCAATTCGTCAGGATGCTTTTAAGGTTTAAAAACCTTTGCCATTTAGGAACTCAAAAAGTAATGTTCGACAACACCCAGGAAAAGCAATCTGTACAGTGTTTCAACTATTGAAGTCATCCAGAAACGAACTTGCAGGTCGTGTACAGCTACTGTTGTGCCTTACTTGTAAACCGACCTTGAAATGCCAGTGTGAATGCCTCTGTCTACAGAGGGATTGCGAAGTCACCGGTTTTGAGGTCTTAATATGAGCGTACTGCCAAACCGGAAAATCTTGATTACAACTTTAGCCAGAAAAACAGCACATTCATTAATGTTGCCAACGAATTATGATGATTCCACAGTTTGTAAGCTGCCTAACCGGCTAGCAGGAATTCATGATGCACAACTTTGAGATACATGAAAACAGCAGACGACACTGTCAAAGCGGCATTTACTTACGCATGACGGTGCACACACCCGCGCTAGACGGTTACGAATACTGCGGTAGGATAAAAACGCCAACAGTATAGCCTTTTATAGATGTAACCCAAATTACTAGGAATCCCCTAAAGTCAACCCAAACTATGCAAATGTTGACTACATTCGAAAGCTGGGCAGTAATGCTATCTACCTGAAGGGGATCGCTTTCAAGTCGGAAATTTGGCAAAACGCGGTGGATGTAGACGCGACCAGTGACATTCTCGGCACCGATTGCTGGTGCGGAAATCGCCACTTCGCCAATCCCGTCCCCGTCAATGTCACCAATCCGGGCGATGGCGTAGCCGAACATCTCATCGGGTCGGGAGCCCTCAAGGCTGAAGTTGTATACGCCATCGGTGTTCCTGAACTGTGCATACATCCGTCCCGTGTTCGGGCCCACCTTCTCCACTTCCTCAAATGGGGCTCCAGCGAAAACCACCATGCCAGCGCCGACGAGACTCGTATCCACCGAAAACCCAAGGCCACCAAAGGTGTCGCCGGTCATCTTTAACTCCTCCGTTTCAAAATCCTCCACCAAACTGCTCGCTCGGAAGCCTTGGACACTGGTTGAGGGCGAACCCACGATGGCCAGTGCGTCGCCGTGACCGGAGAAGTGTGGTGACCACGCAACTGACGCGCCAAACGCCACCTCCTTTGACTCAATGTCATATACGTGCTGTTGTGCGTGTCTTAAGAGACCGTCAACGATGCGAACTCGACCAGTGGACTGGGCGTAGGGGAACCCTGCGAGAAGCTGGGCATTTGTGCCATCCCCGGAGAGCCGAAGGTCGATGGAGAAGCCACCAGCGCACGGCTGCGTACGACCAGCGGAGGAGCAGAACTTCACCGTGTCAACAGACCACCAGGCCCCGTTGATGCGTTCAAGAACGCTACACATGCCGCCGGGAGACTGGGTGCCTTGGCTAGAATGCCAGAGAGGATCACAGAAAACAACAACTCCACCGGTGGGCAGTTGCAAGCTCTGGAGGCCTTTGCCTAGAAGTCCAGCGTCGGAGTGGTTTGAGTTTGGTGTCCCAGTGTCTAAACCAAGGATCTCACAGGTAGAAATGTCAAATCCACCTGGACTACTAGGGATTACATCAACCTGACATCCAAACACTGCGCCGAAGTTATGTATAAAGGCGGTTCCAGTGTGGTTCTGTTTGGGGGAAGTCCCGGCGATAATCAGCCAGGATATGGAAGATTTGGACTCACGAAACATGGTAACGCTGGTCCACTGAAAGTGGGACGCATCAAGACTGTTACCATTGGCCTTTGACTGCAACTGGTCAGTAAATTGAGCAAGGAGACGCTCTTGCAGTTTGGGGAAGTTGACCGTTCGGAAGGACTGCCGTTGATCCTCTGAGGTAGCGGAATTGGGTGGAAACCACCAAGAAGAGGCGGCGGGATGAGTAAGGGTGAAGAGGAACACGATGAGGCTGGGTGGAAGCATCATAACCGACCATCAACAAGTGCACAGGCACACCGTCGCCAAGTGACAATGTGGTATGTCGCGCGTCACCGCACTGTCACACTATTTGCGCATTCCCTGCCTCCGACAATACTATTGGCAAATGCTTGACCAATGGCGGTTTTAGCTTTGTCCGTGGGCCAATGGCAACTCGATGACTAACTCGACGTCAAGGTGCAGCAAGCAAATACGGCATTGTCCAAATTTAGCAGTTTGTCAGCTGTTAAATGCCCCTTAAAACGACTATTATTTGGTAACACGCAATGCCTGATTACTTTTAAACGCAACTTGAAGTACCACATTTATTTTCGTGTCACTCGTTTCACAGATTTTCCTCAGAGTCAATTACTCTGACTTGGTATCAGATCATCCATTTATTTTTGTAGTGAAGACTTCTGTAGATAGTTGAGTCTCTGTCGTAAATGAGGATACCACGCAACTTTTTCTTATTAATTTTCTATCAAGATTGTGCTACCAACAAGTTTTGGCCACTATTCGTCTAAAATCGTGGATCACTTTAAAAAGTGGGGTATAATTCGCGTATCTAATGATGATATACCCCGTTCACGTTCCTTCTTTCGCAGATTGGTGATTTTAGAATCTTGACATCATATCCGCTTCGTAAAATCCACCTGGAGGGGTTCTAGTTTGAATTCTAAAATGTGACAACATTGAGAGTTCAAATTTTACCCTATTCTATGTATCTGTGCGTGGGCTATGGAGGCGGTTCTTAAGGCGCCTTTATTTCAACCTAAGAATGCGAGTTACTTCCCGACTAAGCAAGAGTACCTCAATGCAGGTCTCCACAATTTCTGATTAGTAGAGAAATCGCTTAGATGAGACACATAAGGGGTGTCAATTTATGTGATAATGCAGTTTCAAATCTCAGGATGAATGTCACTTGGCGGTAGATGGTTTGCGCTTTAATTGTCTTACCTCAAGAGGCTATTGCTCTGAAAAATTTCCACCTCTACTTTGATAAAAGGCAGAAGCAATTTGATGACTGCTTTGCCTCAAAAGTGAATCCTATTAAAAATTACATGGTGAACAATTATATTAAATTATACCTAACCCACTTAAAACAAATTTTGTTTTCTTGACTATTAGCAAATGGGAAATGTTAACTCTGTCCACATTACCTTAATTATTTATCCACGGAAGTTGACGACTTTTGTAGCTTGCAGTATTGCACTCTGGCAGCATTTCCTTGAATTAGTAACGTATGCTGCACGTGCTAAAACACAACTGCTCTTCAAACATTTAACCGGTTGATTTGAACTTCAACTTAATAGCAGGCCACGCATTTTACGCCGATCTACAAAAACGCGCATCAACAAGTGGTTTCTACTTAGTTGGAGCATAGGTAGCAATTATTTCTCAAGCCAACAGCGTAAAAATTCCATGTTGGCTGTCTGCTGCCACATGCACTAGCTCATACGTCCCCAATTGATAGCTACTTGAGAAAGATTGTGGGATCTCTAGCAGGAATGGGCACCCAAGCGCCAGCCTCACAGTCCACTAGAAAGACTAGCAGCACCAACCGCACAGCATTCCCTTAAATTTATTTGAAAAGTAGACCCGGTCACGCTTGATTAAACTTCCAGCTTTGTAGGAACCACAGTTCGCATCTATATCAACTGTACGAAGGTGTAATCCCCCTTCGAAGTTTTCAGTGTGATATGCAGCAGGTACACCAATTACAGCACATTGGAGATAATCAAATCATTCGTGGATCGTATTATCAGAGTCTGGTAGGTCTAAAGACTACAAACGAAACCCAAAGAAACAGAAAGATAGGCTAGTAAGGCAGTTCAAGTCTGGGCAAGTAGAAATCGAATATAACTTTAATAACGAAATAATGTACTGGCGTGCTTCATTTTTCTGAGTGACAACTAGTCCACAAAATAATAAACAAACATAAAAAGCTGTACCAATTTCATTTGTACAACAACAACCAGAATTGGTAACAATGGCAGAGTATCAATATAAATCAATGTAAAGAAGTATTATTCACATCGAAACACAAGGGACATCACCGCCGGAAATGGGTTTTGTCTTGGCAAGTTCCTTCTTAAGTTCTTTTTCATATTGTAGGTAAATCTCCGGTTTCATGTACTAAGCAGACGGTTAGCGTTATCAGTCGAACTCGTACCGAAATGACAAGAGTGTTACTCGAGTGAGTTTTGGAAAGCAGTGACGAATCCAGCCTAACACCTAGTCGTTCAAGATCAGGAATAGTAAAGCGTTTGTAATATCTAAGATGACGAATATGCTAACTGAGAAAAAGGGGGCACTTCTTGTTTGTTGTCCGGAGCACAATAGTTGTATTAGCATCTTCAATGGAGAGTAGATACGTACTGATTGGATATGGCAAATTACGTATCCTCCATTGAAAGGCCCGCTTAGTATCACGGCGACAAAATAGAGGCTAAAAGCTGTGCAATGCAATTAAGAAAATACGTTGATATTTGATTCCCTTAACTCTACAGCATCAATTTCGGTTCCCTGTCCGATTTCGTAATTCCACGAGCCTTCGCCACCCAGCATTGTGGGCATCCTCCACTTACGCTCTACGAAAATAAACGAGTTTACCACAAAGCGGGACACCTGTGATTATGCCTTCCACGTTGTCGTACTGTTCAACTAGTTCCTTGCCATCTGGGAAACTATAATGGACTTTTGTACGGCCTACATATAAAGAAATTCAATACTATATGCCATATTATAAACTAGTAACAAATTAATCCGCTTACACATAGGTTATTAACGCTGATGAATGAGAATGTGGTTCCATATCCAAAAATTTACACAAAATAACTTAGGACCATTGCACTGGATTGCAAAAACCATAATCTGATTCCGGAAGTAAGACATAAAATCAATGAAAAACAATACAATAAGGTTACAGTGTTATCAATTAGAACTGTGCATTTTATTCATTAAAGCGTATATGTAAGTCCATACCATTGTCAGCTTTACAGATTTAGACCCATGAAATCTGATGTAAATTGGTGATATGAAGAACTCAGGGATAGATGATATTATAGAACAACTACCATCTTGTACAAGAATAGTTTTCTTTGCTTCTTTAACCGAATTTAGCCATGCGGATGTTGCCATAGCGAATGAACACGATTGCATTTGACCTTGACTTTAAAAAATAGGATATAAAGCAATTTGTACAAAAACTTTGTTAATGAATCAGAAACGCTTTCAAAGAATATTTGCAATAGATTCTGCGAAAATATTTTCAAATATTAAGCAGCCCCACTGAGCTCAAGTGGCACTTTCTAGTTGTGTAGGCTGTTCTGGTATTAACAAAATGGTCATTAGTAGGACACTTTTCAAATTCTAAAAACCTATATGACTCCCAGCCTCTATGGCCAGAGCCTACTACCTTCCAGTCCTTCCGCACTGGCGCGCATCGCAACGAATTTAGAGAATATTTGGGAATCATAGCATCCTCCAGCCTAGGAATTTAAAGTACACCGAATTAAAAAGATTCCAACGAATGTAGAGTCTTTATCAACGGGTACATTCAGACCCTCAACGCTGTCAGGACTCGGCTACACGAGCCCACAAAATTCACACTGAGACCCCCCAACATGAACCTTATTCCTGCTACGGACCCAGTCATGGTGCCACAAACCGTTCTGGGACAACTACAAGCCCATCTGGGACCCAAATACTCAGACGTCACCGAGAAGCACACGAGACGTGATGTTAAATTGGACCGGATTACGCACCGACCTTAACACCAGCAGTGTGGAAATAAATGCATGGGAATTAGTGGAGAGAGTGTAATTGAGAACTGGGCATGCAAAAGACGCGAGGCAAAAAAATACGAAAGAACGGGATAACACGAGGGCGATTTCGTTAGTCAAAGACGTCGCGCTGATGGTGTTCCGCGTCGCCGTTTTCCGGTGGGAAGTAAGCTGGTTTCTGATCTGTGGAAGGGCTTTCAACCTCCAGAAAAGAGGAAGCAGGCTGGTTTAGAGGAGAGAAATTGGTTAAAGCATTGCGCTCAGATAAAGTCTTCAACGTTAATTCCAAGTCCCGATAGCCATTGGCAAAGTAAGAAAGCGTTGCAGCTTGCAGTGCCTGCAGATGCTTCCGTAGCACGCGGGCCTACAGAACATACAAATGAACGACTGTCATGAATCGCCTACACCGCAATTTATATCGCGAAATTTGGCTTGAGCGTGACTGCGTACGCTTGGTAGGCTAAACATCTATCCCAAACGTAAAAGTAAACTATTCAAGATATTTGTGAACCTTAAATTCACGTATAAGTTTTCCTTCTAACGCTTCAAAATAAAAGAAGACCAGTGATTTTGATTCATAAGATAGAGTACTTGAAGAAATTTAAAACCTAGCTGAGATACCTTCTACTACAGCCTTTTTTCTCGTCTTAAAGAATTTTCAAAAGTCGTTTTTACAGAAACCAACTTAGGGTTTGCAGTAGTTTTCTCTTTTACTAACACGATTGACCATCTGAAACCGTTAAACTCAAAATATTTCAGCCTAAAAGGTAAAAAACGTTAAAAAGAAATTGTTTATTGCTAACTCCTGGCAAAAAATCTTGAGGTAACAAGACGAGTGTGATTGAGGATGTTGTCCATATTTAAAGCCACTTTAAATGAATGTGGGGCAGTAAGGAAATAGAAATAATTTTTGGAAGAATAAATCGTAAAAACTGCGAAAAACTTTAACTTGTGCACAGTCACTCGCATCGACTGGGGCCAGTGGCTTCATTTTCGACGTCCTTTCTTGAATGCTTCGCATTACTCCAGCAAACATTTTTCGATGCAGAAATGTCAGCACCTTTGGTAGCGATAATCCTGTTGCGAAGACAGTCGCATACATTTGAATTGTTCAATTAGATGTCAAAAAGCAAAAGCGGAAACTGAAGGTAATGATTAGACGTGGATCCTTGCAGTTGTCAGATGTCAATAAAAAACAGCGCATCAAACCATTTTGATTGAAAACAATTGAACCCCTACTAATCCAGAATTTACAGAGCGACCGTTATAAAGTTCCAGAGGTAGTATCAGTGCCAAAGGACTACCTACCCGATTCTCATGCAAAAGTTTCATCTTCATATCGGTGTCGGCCCTTAGCGCAAGATAATTCTCCCGACCCGTAGCAAATTTCTGTCGTAGCTGCTGGACGTTTATTTCCTGCTGAGGAGTGGACGCGGACGCGGGCGTGGAGGGAGTGTCTGAACCGGCGGCATCGGTGGAGACGGGATTTGCCACATCACCTCCCGTGCTCCCCTGCTGCGTCGCTATTCTGCCCGCTTTACTCTCCATGCGCTCAAGCTCATTACGGTATGTGTCGTAAACGAGACGTGCGTGTTCCAGCTGCCGAATCGTGGTCAAGGTGTCGGGTACCGTCTTCTTGCAGAATGTGTCCAAACCGTCGCAAAACAACTCCAGAGCACCTTGAGACCATTGCAAAACGAATTTTAGCTGTACAGTTGACTGTCTGAACCTTCACAGTCTCGCAAAATTCATCTTACATGCGAAGGTATGGGTGTGTTTCTGCCATGTAAGCTACAAGTATTTCAGTCCTTCTTTACGCATTGGTGACCACGTCAAGAAAACCCACTTCAAAATAACCCTAACCTCTGTCAATTTCAGTGGTTATATTCGACGGTTAAAAGTCAGGGATAATTATCTACCTTCATTGGCTGAATCTACAGACTCACAATGGAAGGTCTATCGAAACCGCATAGACTTTTAACTACCCCAATCTCAAACCCTACAGAGATCGATAACGGGACTAGAATTTGAACAAATTAAAATAGTAAAGAGCTGTTTAAATGAAAATATCGAATCAAGAAAGCCGTATGAAGATCAGATCCCTAGGGTGCAAGAAGCTGATAATGCCCCAAATAGGCAGTTAGGTAAAAGGGAGAACAGAGGGGAAATACAAGTCTGTAAAGTTACCTCATAACGTGCATTTTATTAAATAGTTCTGCACTTGAGTAAATGCTCTCGCTAAAAACAATCGGCACAGGAAGTGCGCTTGCCGTAAAACATCATCTAGCCCTCAGTGAAACAAGGCAAATGAGGTTCCCGGCCAGGGCGTAAGAGGTAGTCATCAATGCACACAAAATGCACAATAACAGCTGAATTCTCATATCCTTAAGCTGTGATGAGAATTAACCTTGCAACCCTTGCCCCCACCTCGTGGTAAAAGTAACTTGTATATTGAGTGATCGTGGGGCGCGCCAAGAACGATGCACAAAAGAAGAGAACTATGTAAAAGAAAGACATTCCAGTAGTACAATAGAATGCGTAGACTTTCACGGCCTCCAACCACTCATCTTACGCATTTTTGAGTTACTAGTCTCTCTGACCGTTCGTGTGTTTACAATAAATCCACCTTCTAACAGCCATAACTTCTTGTCCTTAGGAGCAACTCGGGCGCAATAGTGCTCTCGTAGCTGTTTTAGATATTAGACTTAAACCTTCGTCAAGGAAATATCATAATGGAAAAATTACAAGTTTGGGGCACCCGTAATTAAGCGTTCCGTAAATATGCGTCCTACCCTATTTTTAAACTCCTTAAGATCGCTTAGATTCCGTCAAAGGTGGGTCTAGTCTGTCTATGCATGTGGTTGTGAGGGGAAACGAAAGATCTCATTAAGGGTAATCGCCTACGCTTACGTCAAGTATTGTATTTTCAGATTATGAATAATAAGAACTCACTGACGTAGCTGGCAGTGGAGGCAGCGACGACGCGTTGGATTGCAGAGTTGTGCATGAACTCAGAATCCAACTCGGGCTGTTGCTGGGCCGCTATGGTGAACTGCGAGGAGAGGGACTGCTCCAGTCCAGTCATTGCGTTCATCTGCCCTATCATCTTTTTCACCGAGGCGCTCATCTCCTGGTACTTCGCCTGAATCCGCCTTTGCACAACATAGCAGGGCAGAAAAGTTAGCAAAATCAATGCAAATGGCGTTGAGAACTCCTTCTAGTTCCTACGTCAGTTTTCAAAACCACATAATGAAATTCGTTTCAAACTCATACCAACATAATTAGTGATAAAATGAGAAACATCAAAGCTATTTTTAGTCATTTCGATTGACAACAAGATCAAGAAAGTGACTTCAATATCAACAAATCGTGAGAGCTGGTAGCTTTAGATCCAGGATTATAAAACAATCTTGCGAGTTAAACGCAGCATTAAATTGAAATACTAGTTAGTAGTTTGATATTTTCAAATTACGGCCCGAGATAAAGTTGATCTAAGCCCTCAGGTGGAAAACCGGTATGTCCTTACAATCAAGAACCGCGACAGTTTTAATAAAGAATTGATTCGATTTTACCAAGTCAGCTTTTCCCCACTCTCCCATTACGGCGCAGCCCTACCAAAGTAACTTTTTCAATTCCCCAAAACGCTTCATATTTGCTTTCGTGAAACTCCATAAGCCGTTGGAGTGAATTTTCATTATTACTTTAGCGGAAAGATAAGAGGAATGCCTCGTATTAATCTCACGCACATGAGGTGCCGAAAAATGTATTTTTCAAAGGTGTAACCGCAGCTCATTTGCCATTACCTCTTTCGACTTGTACAACTTCAATATTTGTGCGTCCTCTAAACAATTTCCATAACTTTGACTCATGTGTTACTTAGCACAAATACATTAGTGATTTTCTGTGATTTCCAATTACAGTACAATTTCCTCAAGTTCTGCATTCATCCGGCACAACACCTAGCAACGTCTTTTTTCCGAAAACCTTGTAAATCCTTCGAAGGCGAATTCCAAAGCTCTAAAAAGCATTGTTAACAGTGATTTGTAATGGGAATGAATCAAGCGAGGCAGAACGGTTAAGTGTGTTTTAATTACAAAATTGGTGGGATATGAGACTAAATTTACGAAGGAAGGTAAACGATAGAGTAGAATATAGACTTATCAGAACTTATATGACAACTAATGAGGCTATTTTTGAAGAGATATGCATACATTATTATCTAAAAGATATGAAATGTAGCTCCGGATAATTGCACAGGTTTGAGAATGAAAGTGATGCTTTCCGGTGGGTCTGCACCTTTATTAAACACTACAGTGAAGAGAAGTAAGGTTACTTAAATCTGGTTAAAGATGAAGGTGACAGACAACGGGACCGTTCCCATCAACTTAAACGTCGGTCACATTCTAGTAAACTATATGAATCGGAGCGCCTTGTTCGATTCCCAAAGAGTAAATTCAAATGTGCCTAGTGGAAGAGAAATCTCCGAACTCGTGGCGGACCAACTATGCTGATTCTGACCAATCACCTCTCTCAACAGTGCCGCATCCCACTCTTGATCAAGGCCTGATTAGACCTAAGTTGCGCAAACATTAACCCCTTACAATTTCATCATACCCTTTTCTTATTTCTCATTGATTGGCCTCTGTTTTACTTAACTATCATGCCTAATTTAACATTCACCCACGACAGCGTTAGACTGCTTTATCACACGGTAAGTGACCCCAAAGACATACGTTTTCAGCTTATAATTATACCAGAGGTCTGACAAATCCTTTGAAGGACAATCGTTGTTACAGTATAAAAAAAAATATTCAAAGCATGATGTGTCTTGGGGTTATTTGGTTAAAATACAAGTTTCTGATTCATTTTCAATCTATTAGTTTCTAAGCGAGGGCTAATTTCATTCGCCGAGCTGGAAATGCAATTAAAAAGTGAGGTGAAATATGTACAAGACCACAATGGGGGGTTAAAAAGAAATAACCTTGCGTTCCACTCGCATTATTTCGCCTGTCAGGCGCTATGAGCACGGCATAGCGATTCATTTTAAACCGCGTAGATGGTTCCTGATCATACAGAACTAAATCAGAAATCGGAAATAGCACACCAAAGTTGCGGGCTAAATGGGGTTCATGTGAATGGGAAAGAAGATAAATGGAAAATTTAACAAATGGGTGTGCATTCGAAGTGTGATCTAATGAAATACGTCAAAAGTAAATCAACAAAATGAATACGGGAAATGACATACACAGCTAAAGAATCTAGCCAACCCATTGACAAAAAATTGAGTGCAAGTTAATGCATCTAGCCTTTAAAGTACACAGATCGTACTTTGACAGCTAGTTCTGTTATTGTGATTAAACATAAGAAAAGATCATCAGATTACGATGTAAAAAGGGAACAAATCCACGAATTTCCACTAGTTTATTTATGCCAAACGCATTGTTTTCAAAGAAGTGCCTTAAAGGATCTGACTCTGGGGAGAAGTTAGGGCCTTTTGCTTAAGAGAATCCTGCCACATAAAAGTGGATAATCCGAGAATACTGCGCATAAACCCCGGACTTCAGTTATTCGCTTGGATAATAAATGCGGACAGCAAGTTTTTGGCCAATCTGATAACAATTTAGTCGGCACACGGATGATAACCGCGATATCCTCCCCCATCCGAACAAAAAAGACTTTTGTGGACAACTGAAATCAACCATACATAAATAGCCTAATCAGTTCTACCACGGCATTGGCACTAAAACCGAGGCAAAGCATGTTTAGTAGCACGCAAAGTCAAAAGGCATTAATAACAGTTGGTGCAGGAAGCTAAGTCTTTGCCAATCTACTTGCGTGAGCTATAGACACTCCAAAAAGACAAATTTGTGCCGCCAAGATATGAACCATGGTTTATGAGTTTAGAAGTTTGATTTTGGAAGGAAAGCGACAAAGGGTCCAGGAAATGTAAGGTGAAGAAATAGGGTAGCTGCCATATCCATTTTTTCTTCAATGAATTGCGACAGATCATATGAACATGGCCTAAGAATAACTGTGCATTTGTGCGAGTTGATGCGATAAAAAGAATCATTAAAGTGCATCAAAACTTGCGGTTAAGACCAAGCCATAATTGCCATTTCCAGTCATTCCGATGCAGACCAGTAGTGCCCTATGTGTGTCTGAAACATGCTATTAAGCTGAGAATACCTGGCTCATGTGTATTAATATTCCTGTTTTTGAAACAGTTGTAAACAAGTTTTAAACCAAGTGCGTTCCATACTTCCAAAATAAATTTTGGGGTAAGCTGTCCATAAAAAATGACAAAGTCCACACCTTTAGCGTAACACAACTAAGATCTGAATCAAAGCAAGCAGAGTTCACATGTAGTTTAATTGAAAACCGGTCTTCGAGAGCTTGGCCTGGACCGAGAATAAAGAAAACGATAAGGAAGTCATGAAAGTTTGAACGCTATTACACCCAATCCTCTTGCAATAAGCATTTCACTGCTATGCATACGTGGGCGTGGATACCGTCACGATCCCAATCAAGAGCGCCAAGAAAATAAGGACTTCAGAGTGCAAGGGTGATCATCTTTCAGAACAGCCTTGACATTACAGTTAAGGTGTTTATTCATCTATTTTGTCCTTTTCTGGTGCTCATAGACAACGGTACCAACAATTCAAGAAAGCATTTGCCATCGTTACAATAAGTGATTAGGCATTGGCAGAACACAAAAGGGCAGAAGTTAAGCAGGTTGTAAGAATTATGACCAGACTATCATGGGTAAAAACCGTTTGTTAAAATCAACCTAAAGATCGTTCTGAGTAAATACGTGGCCGTAAATTCAAACAGTGAAACGAAGCATCACTTTGTCTAATCATCTGCTATAGTATTAAACCACCATTCCTTCAAAACCATCCCTGAACTGACGAGAAATGGGATTCATGTACAAGAATCCAGCTCACATAGATAGAAGAGACCATTATCTTATGTCATAGAGAAGTTTTTCAAAAACATTAAGCTTTTTCTAGCTGTAACGAGGAAAATGCTATGATTAGTGTAATTGCAAAGAGAACTAAAAATACTTAAACTCCTTCACTTTCATATGAAAATCGAACCATAAAATGATATCGTGTCGACAGCCCAAGGTGTTAGAATTACTGATAGCTGGTTAACCGTTTCAAGAAAATGAGGCTTTTAAGTTAAATATCAACATTGCCTAATCCTAAATCAGGTGACTTATGAAGAATGGATGCCTAGCCAAAGCCGATTTACTTGCTATGCATACTTATTCAACCCCCGCTTTTCTTTGACGATGCACGAGTAAAGATAGGACTGATAAAAGATGAACGTACTAAAACACACTTTTAAAACGAACGCGGGAACATTTTCCCCAGTTGTATGTGCATAAAATTAGTCAGAAATCATAGAAAATAAACTCTGCTTTACTTTTACTACTGTGAAGAGTTTCAAACAAGTACTAATCCAAGTACCACCGTTGTGTCCAACGAATCCACAAGTAGCGGTGATGGGAACACCAACTGACAACACAGCCTATAATAATTCTTACAAGTGTTCGCTTGATTGGCCGACATTTCCGGCTGAGATGGAGGAGACACCAATGTCACTAAAACCTACTTTTCGCTTAAAGGCGTTCAGACAGTTCATAACACTGTTCCTACCTAGTAGGTCAAAATTCTTAACAGCCCTTTTGCCTGACAAATAAACCAAAACAGTAGCGTTGCACTTTTACGCCAGTTTGGTGAGGCAACACATGAACCAGATGAACCGGGAGAATCAACGTAACCGCTTATTCGTGATAGATTAAATTAGATGGACAAACAGGTAGATAGATGACTTTCTTGTCTGATAAGAGAACTTAAAACAGAATAAAAGAGTTCTGCTTCTGCGTCAAAATACCAGAATTACGTTAGACAATGCAAAATTTAAAATTTGATGCTAACATGGGGTATTTTTGATAGTATTTCGTAAATAAGACAGTGACCAATGGTTACCTTGGCAACACAAGTCTAGTATTCAAGGCATGAGAAAGGCTCACGAAAACAGGCTTACCAACAGCATGCAAGGGGAGCATTTGAATCACAAGAAAGTCAGCTGATTTTAGCACTGGGAAAAAAAGCCTAAAAACTAATTGTATGCTGTGCTAATCGAGTTCGTTATAAATAAAAAAAGCAAATAGATTTAAACACAGAAGCACTGGAATTGTAAGGGTATTAGGAGAAAGGTGACTTAGGAATTAAATAAGTCGGCACAATAAACCATGTTCTCTATCAACTCTCCTCAGGAGCGAAATTCGAACAAAAGTACAAAAAAGTAATTCCTCAGAACACTGATCTCACCATAACAGCAACACCATTCCAAAACCAGTCCAATAGAGCTATCTTTACGTAAATACAGGAAAAAATGTCCATCCACATTATTGCGGAATGAGTGTGCCCTTGACAAATACTGCCAATAAATATGAGCACACTCCTTAAAGACATAGGACCACGAATTGGATAAGTAAGCTCACGACGACTAATCCTGCAGATGGGTCATCCTGCCTTTCAAACAAATAGGAGAATTAATCGGGATGCAGAGGCGCAGAATGGTACAAAGAGATACTTGCTTGATCTCCTCAATTTTAGCCTGGGTTTCGGGATCGCGGGTGGGTGAGGTGGTACCCAACTTCTCCTCAATCGCCTGTTTCGTGCACCTCATGGCCGTAGAGCTCCACGCCTTAAAGTTCTCAATCTTTCCAGGCAAATCTAGAGAGCCATTATTCCCAAAGCCCTTCTGACTCCTCGTAGGCGCATTCACTATAACGAAAGCGCAAGCCTTGAGTACCACAGCGTTCCTCAAGTCAAGCACCTGTAAAGTTTGCCTTAGAACATGGTGTCAATTCAATGTAGAGTTCGAAACAAGTAAGCAAGAGAAATTTCCGATACAATTGAGCTCCAAACATACGTAGGGTTAGCTAGCGCTTTGAAACCAGCCTTCTTGAAGCATATTCTGTCCTACTAGTTTCAAAACGATCGCTTACGAAGTAAGTATAAACTAATTTGCGGTTTCCTTGAAAGTACTTCATAAACAGAGACTCAATTAAATGACCTTTTGCCAGATGTTGACAAAAAAGGAATATTCGTGTGATGAATACTCAATTATTCGACAAAGGTTACTAAAATACGCATTCTCGGCCTATATGTGCACGACAAGATGAATAAATTCTACATGCATTTTTCTATTTTTTCCTTGAGAAATAAGCCAAGTACCATCACCTTATCAGTATGTATGCTAAGTGGAAGGTGTTTAATGAATTCTCAAACTAATTTCTTATGAGCAAGTAAAATTAGTACTGATAACAAAGTAATGAACGCAAAAAATGCAGTTAATGGAATACATTCAGTATGAATCTAAATGAGTGAGGTTAGATGTTGGAACTCCCAGCCTACGAATAAGAAGACAAATGCTAAATGTCAAGTAGCAGAACATTGTTAATATGGCTTTTAGATCAGATTAAGAAACCGAACAGACATTCTTAGCAAAAGTTATAAAAACGGGGCTAAGTTAATTTAAGAGCACTAGTTCGTGAAATTTCGAGTTTTAATAATTTACACTGCCGCCTTCACTGACTGCCCCACCGTGTCTCGTCAAGCATAATATTAATTTTCCATTTATTTGAAGAGTCCTCCCAAAGTGGTGAAAGGTGCGACATAGTACTCATAAAGCATTGCTCAATTTATAAATTCATATATAGACAAATAAAAAATCTACATGTTCACAGTAAATATTGCATCAATTTGCAATACACTCCAACATTTCTAGTAAAGCGGCCCCCAAAGCCCAAAAAAATATAATTCATTCTTCTCGCATTATGCCAGTATACCAAAGCGGTCGAGTACTCAATACATGAACACAAACACGATGAACCGGATTCACCATACATTATTAATACTATACATACATCTAATAACAGGCCAACATACGCAACAGCAAGTGCCAGAAAGCACTGTAAGTAAAACAAAACAACATACTGATATCATTATTTGTCTGCACATCATTTCGCAGATCCGAGTCTGCGGAATCCACCGAAGCACCACCGACAATCGGCATTTCAAATGTTGGGAATTTGGGCCGAAGTGAAGCCTTGCCATGATAGATCAATGTACAAAGTGTTAGTAAGATCAGCGATTGACTAAAAATGGGTATTAAATTTTTTGCAAAATGAGTAAAAAAATTTATTAGGCCCACTATTACGAATGGCACTACAAAAGTCACACTTCTTAGGAGAAATTGCCAATTAAGGTCACCCGTGCAGTAGCGCAATTATTAAGTTGGTTGGCAGGTGAATGAGATTGCAGGATTTGAAGTTCCTCAAGAAAGAACCACCTCCCAATAAGGAAAACACACGACTTCGTAAATATTTGAATATGTCACTCTTTTAGTCATTAATCGTGTGCAAAGTTTCCTACAAGCAGCTGAGTCCAGTGAAGCACCCAAGGATTTCGAAAATCCGGATGATACTCAGCAATATATTGAATTAGTAGGTAAAAGTGGAATTATCTTGATAAAGTATGAATAATCCAACAACTGTGAATGGAGGCGTTGGCTAGAATACTTTGTATACTACTCTCGAATACCATGGGTCAAAATTTCTAATTTACGTCGGGATTGAATGCTTCGTTAATGGAAGTGCCACGCCTTGTTCTTTTGTTGCCTTCACGCAATACTTAGTTTCCACTGTTAATTTTTTATCTAGGGGTCTCTTATAACTATGCGCATGGTGTTGTTTTGATGCTGTCTTTTTCAGTCGCTAGAATATCAAAACTAACAACAACCTTGTCGTCGTTGTGGGTACATGCGCGTGTGCAATGCATGCAAATGCATATATGTGTATGCTTTGAATATTTTTTTTCTTAGGATCTCTTCATTCCCAAAGGATTCGACGAGAGCAATTTTGGCTTAGTATTGCCCGTCGACACTGCCTCGGGAAGTAGTGGGAGTAGTAGTAGTAGCACCACATCGTCTTCTGACGCCTCGGACATCGAGGAAACGTCCACTAACGAAAGGCTGCCCGACCCAGAAAAACTGCGGCCCTCCAAACGTCCGAAAATTGAGGAGCTTGATTGCGTCTCTAATGCGGATGATAAGAGGGGCACCACTTTGTGAAGCATTTGAGTAGTTTCCATCTGTGATTTTCCAAACTCC